CTTGCTGTCTCTCAGGACTGATTTTCATTCTGTACAAATGTTCTCATTATAAAGACTTAACATGAGGAGAATATAAATGAGAGGATGAGTGCACACTAAGAACTTGCTTATACAGGAATTGTATTGATCAAAGGAGTGGCAGAGTAAAACACATGCCAGCATTAATGCACTCCTGTTTGCAGCGTCCAAATAGTTTCCTTTCCCATAGGAGTGGCGTGACTCCTCGCCTCTGAAAGCAGGTCAACTTGACGGTTTTACTTAACTGAAATAGAAGGTGCAAATTGTTTCCTGTGATTATGATAGACCATTGTTGTATGTTGTATGGCTCCAAGGAGTTCTTTGCAAGCAAATGCAGTCTTCGCCAATCGCAGACAGCACGCTTTATCATTATAGTGAAACCTTATGGAAGAACTGAAAGTCCAGAAGATGCTCATGTGTTAAGTTACTGGGTGAGCCCTGCTGGGAACAACTTTCACAAGGCTAGACAACACCACTTACTTCATCCGACTGGCCCCTGCCCTGCACGGCTGAACCACCAGCCAGCTGGCTTCTGGGAGGGTGCACTCCTCAGGAGCTGCTTTCGCCTGGTGGTTTTAGGCTGTCCCTGATGCTTCAGGATCAGACAGCAGTCACCTGTAGGCCAAGACTTTAGCAGACAGCCTCCTCTGCCCTCCCACAGCATCAGGAGTGGCTCTGCAAAGACAACTTCTTTGGGATTTCAGGTGGCAGATTTTCCCCTCTTCTGTCTGGAGAGAAACTGCTGAAAGCCATGCTGCCAGTTCAGACTGCTCATTTGCTAAGGCTAAGACAACATGTCATTAAGAGTTGAACAGAGGCAGGGGAATTCATGGATATAAGGCTGTTTTGAAAAAGACTGTGTAAAACAAAACCCAGGTTAGGAGCAGAGTGAAGCCCCAGGTGTCCGGCGGCTGGGCTCCCTCTGTGGCCACGGGACACGCTCCTGGTTTCCACAGGACTGGCTCTGCCTCTGCAGGTGGTGTCGCATCTGCACTGGAAAATTTCTGGTTTACACTTAATTACACCAGCATATTCTCAGACATAACTGAATGTAAAATGCAAATTTCTGTTGAAGATCAACTTACAAGCTCAGCTGAGTGCGGTGACTTCGCTGATTCTCTTCTAGTTTTCCTGCTGGCTGGTTAATATACATGTAGGATATCCATCAAGGCCTTTACAAAATCAGAATTCTAACAAGAAGACACGAGTCACATGTCTAGACTGACATAAAAATGAAATGGCATTGTTCTTGTCACTGGAATGAAGTAGGGCTGACATCCCTTGAGCCCTCACAGACTCACATGGCCTTTAGGTTAAAAAAGCACAGGTAGAGGTGTGTGGTTGTTATCAGAAACTTCCATAAATCCAGAACATGAGGTCTCTTCAATCCTAACTTCCAGATTGTATAACTTTGACATGAAGGTGCATCTTTACCATTGAAAGCATCATAGTTATTTCAATAAATTGGTAGATACAGAGCATTATCTGAAGTGGATCCCAGTATCTGTGTATCTGGATATGCAGTGCCTGAATCTGACCTTAAAAGTTCCAGTCCCTTTAGATTTATATCACCTTCAGTCAGCACAGAAACACTAGTTAGTCTCCTTTTTACAAAGAGCTCATTGCACATTCATCTTTTGTTACTGTCTAGCTTGCAGACCAAGCATCCTTATGCCATGCTTACCTATGCTCATGGACATTGGTTTCTAAAACAGCTTCTCTTCCCACATAACAAGAATTAGCGTCTTTATTGGGCAGGACTTGCACAGATTTCAGGAGCTGGAAGCAATGATACTTGTGGTCCCCTTCCTTCTTAGGATCCTCTGATTTACTGATGTCTCGGTTTACTCTGTCAACCCCTAACATCTCAGATTCACAGCTCAACAGTGCAGGCAAAGTATGGCATGGGCTGCTCAGGTATCAAAAGCACAGCTTCTGCAAATTTCGTGGTCTTCACCCAGAGCAAGTGTTGATATCAGACAGTTTCTTGGTGGGTCACAGCAGTTCCAGCTACAGTAGTATTGGAAGCTGTTTTGGAGCTGTCACAGGCATCTCCACAACCAACAGCACAGAAATACTCTCGAGCACGAGCTAGAAGGTAGAACTGAAAACAGAACATGGACAAACTTGCACCATCTGCCAACGCTTTCCCAGAATAACCTGTGCATCACTACCTTCAAGACATTCTCCAAAAGAAGAACTTAATTAAAAATCAGGATTATCTGAAAATTAGTTAGGAGTGTGAGGAAGGCAGCATATTTGTTCTGTCATATGCTGCTCAGAGCTTCACACCTTTCTATATTAGGTTCAGTCTCTGTGTATCCCTGTTCTTCAGTGCTCACCTCGCAGCTCCATACCTAAGATTTCTGCCTTAATGTGGCAAGCAGGCTCCGCTGCCTAGTAGTAGTAGCCAAAAACAAGCAAACAAACAAAATCAAAACCAAACCAAAACAAAACAAGAGAGGAAGAAGGGCATGAATCTAGATGCAGGATTGTTTTGTTTTACCCTATTTTGAGCTCAATTTTGAGTAAATTAGTAGTGGCGCCTTGTCAAACCCAGAATTAAAGGCTATGGCTTGCATTTCTGAAGAAACAGTGCTTTAGAAACAAAAGCCCTGTTGATTTTCACAGGTCAAAACATATGAAAATCAAGGGTGGGATTCAATTGCTTAAACAGGGACATCTAGTGTCTTCCTAGAGGCCCTGGGGGAGCCTCGAACCTGCAGCTCCTGATCAAGAAGAATGCAGGTCTCCTGTAGGGTTTGTTTGTCATTTTCCCAGACCCATGCCAGGATGGCAAATTGTGATTATTTATTTATCTATTTATTTATTTATTAAATTCTAGAGAAATTTTAGAGCATTTGTTAAATTTAATCTCGACTTTTGAGGTTGAAGATTGCATATGGACCTCAAGGAAGCTGTAGCTGTTCTTCCTTCTAAACCCATAATGCCCAAACAACAGGTTAATTTCTAGAGAATGGTGAAGTTTTACCATTTAAAATTTCGCCTTGGGAATTTTTTGGTGAAACTAGCATTTAAAATGGGCTGCCCAGGGAAGTCTGGAGGTGTTTAAAAGACGTTTAGATGTAGAGCTTAGTGATATGGTTTAGGAGGACTTGTTAGTGTTAGGTCAGAGGTTGGACTCGATGATCTTGAGGTCTCTTCCAACCTAGATGATTCTGTGATTCAAAGAAGGGAATGTAATTCCTGGTGGCTTTTTAAAATCCATACTGACTTGGGACTTATCTGCATGAATTTCTTCACATGACTTCAGCATCCAAGCTCTAGCTTCAGTGTCTTGGCTCGAGACCCGCAGTCAGCATTGTGGGGGTGATTCATACAAGCAATGATCCTGTCAGTTTTGTTACTTGCAAAGTACCTCATTTTATTAAAAATCCATTTGGAGATGGGTGAAAATATACACAGAGTGCAAAGGAAGAAATACTTTATTGTGAGCATGGATTGAGAAATGTATGAGACATTTCAGAATATACTGCTATTTATCAAATGAGGGGAAAAAATGAGCCATGAAGCATGAGATAAATGACCAGTGCTTGAGACCAATGAAGAATATGCACACAGCTGTCCTAACAGCACGAAACTTGATACCAATCACAACATGTATTAAATAACTTTTATCATCAGCGGAAATTTAAAACAATATTTATAAAAAGTTCAAATATTGGACCTATTCCTGCATTGTACATCCAAAGCTTCACTGAATCTTGTGGGTGTATGGAGGGAACAATGACCCCCGCAGAGCAAACTGACACCCCACCCCAGGCCACCCAAGGTAGAGATGGAGGAGACATCAAAAACAGAAGACATAAAACACTGTTCTACAAAAATGAAAAGGCAAGTATCATCCCGAGGAATATTATTATTTTCATGAGGCTTTAATTGCAGCATCCTGACTCCATTAAAGCCAACAAGAGTTTGACATTGAGATCAGTGGAGTCTGAATTTCATTCTGAAATTTAAAACATTCTTGTGTTAGTGTAAACATCAGCAGAAACAGCATATCAGCATCTATACATGTATTCAAGTGCTGTTTAAAAAAAATTAAAAATAGACAGTGCTAACCCAAAATGCCAGTATGTATACAAAAGGCAGATAATTAAAAGAGCTTTTTTCAAATACATATTTTAAAGTATTTAAAAGCATCAATATTTTTAATATCGGTATATCACTGCTAGAGAAAGAATCTATGAGAAAAGTCTGAATTTTTCACAATGATAAAGGAAGGGCACAGTGTTTGCTCAGCTTTATTTGACACCAGTAGTTTTCCACTTCGGAATCATGTTGTCTACCTGCACGCTCACGTGTTTTCAAAGCGGTGCTGAGGAGTAGTTGTATTTAATGATGAACTATACTCCTTCTGTGCAAGTACTTTAGTATACTCCTCATGAGCCATTTACACCAATTGTATTTTCAGTAAAAAAAAATAAAATAAAATAAAAGATGAACAGAGATAGGAAAAATTCTTGAAGAAATGTTTTTCATCTTCTAACAACCTGGTGAGATCTCACATCACAGCAATTTACAATCATGCATTTGGCGATCCAGAGCTGATACAACTTTTCCATTTACTGCTGGAGTTGTGCCTGTCTTCAAACAGTTCTTTGCTAATTTTCATGCGGATCTCTGGACTGGATAACAGCTCCTTTATCTGATTCAGCCTGGATAACAGGGCCTGTGTTTCTCTGTGCAAAGCTTCCTTTACTAAGTCTGCTTCACGGTTCTTTCCTAGAGGGGAAGAACAATATAACGTTTTATAATAACAATGTCACTTAGAATTATTAATGTACAGAGAAAAAGAGATCATATCTGTTTTGGACAGTATTCAGTGCTTTTTCCCATATTGATTTTTTATAAAAAGGTACTCTGACAAAAAAAAAATACAATTTGCATCAACAAATGTTACCAAAAAGTACAGAACAGAACAGTGTCACATTTAAGAGAAACTCCTGCTATATTACATACTGTGTAATAGTATCTGCGAGGAATATCTGTAGTGGTAATTTTTAGCCTGGGATGACTGCTGCTGACTACGAAACAGAATGTGCTCTCGCATCCAGCGAGCAGCCCTGTGGCAGCGCCAAGCAGCACGGAGGGCATTGTTTCCACATACGGCGAGGCCCCTTCCGTGGCCATTCATTACAACCCAACAGGCAAACACAGAGGGCTCAGTTTCTCTCCAGAAGCAAGGAAGGGGCTCTTGGTGAAGAGCCAGCAAAGACTGGAGCTGTCTGATTCACCATTCTTGCCTTTTTTCTGCAGTCCATCCCTCTCAGCATTCAACAGATTTTCAGCAACGCAAGCACTTGTTAGGCTCGTCGGCAGTGTCCTTCGGTTCAGAACAAACTTTTGATAAGAGACTCACAAAGCAGAGTGCCTGTCACCCAGCACCACTTAGCAAGTTTCAGCAGGGAGCCGGGACATGTTTCTGTGGTTATTCTCGGTGGGATATTTGCTCCCGGGCTTTTTGCACAGTGCTCACTTGCTGCTGTCATTGTCGCTCTCATTCTTAGTGCCACTGGCTGCTTCCTCAGTTTTCACAGGGCTTCCATCAGTCTGTCTGGTTTTGTTTTGCGTTTCTTCTAAATATTGCTGTACAGCCTTGAGCACTGCGTTCTCCACCAGCCTTTTGCTGAGGCTCACCAGCTCTGCATCATCTGGCTCTGCTGCATGTTTTTCACCTATGTGTCACAACAGACAAGAGAAGGAATTCATTGCCACAGGAAAGACAGCAGCCAAATGTAATTGTACCAGAAGCCTCTGGCTGAGCTGGACATCTAGATTTCAAGTTACTAGATGGATTTAAGACTGCCTTTTCCTGACTGTTAAAATGATTTCCCCCTCCACGAGCTCTAAATCAAGTGTTTCATGAGATGTACACAGTAGATCAGACTAAAAATATTTCACTTCTTATCTTTATTCTAACATTCCTGTAAGCCGCTGACTAACACTAGGAGCACAGAGTCAGCTTAGAAGAGTAAGAGGCGTCATTTCTTCTGGTCACCAATAAGCCATGCCATGTGGGCAAAGATGAAGGATATGACACACAATTTACATTTTTTGTAAAATTCTGAAGTCTAACTGCCCCTGTTTTGTGAGTTTGCTTAATAAAGCTGAAAGCTTCTACCTTACTTAACCATTGCTTATCATTCAAGAGCTTCTCATGGGGAAAAAATGGTTAAAATATCCTAAAAGCAGGTTAAAAATTATTATTGTTATTCTAAATCAAAGCATAAAAGTTGGAAAACACATGTACTCCCAATCCCCCTTCAGTCTTCTGATTTGAAGTTCTGACACTGAAGGAATGCAAGTGCTGAGTCTATTCATAGGTATCCACTGATAAAAGCAAGAAGCCAGCGTTTCCCTGCTTTGTTAGGAACTCACAGGAGTAAACACACACAACTAAATAACTGTACACATAATAAGGGGTCCCGTATAACATTACATACGTTTTGAAATTGTACCTCTCCATGAATCATTTTCCTAAGGACTTACACAGCCTACTACAGCATCCTTTTATGAACAATGTAACCAAGGAAAAGCATATTTCACTGTCCAATTTCCACCGGCCATATAATTTGTGCCTGCCACTTTGCAGTTTCTGGCACTAGGTAAGTAACTGTTTCTCCCCCTGTACATTTAAAGGCCGTCTCTTTAATGGCCCTTTCTGGAATTAGCGTTCTGTAACCAGTAATAAGATGCTGCTTAGTCACACACATCTGGTGAAAGAGATACTATTGTATGTTCTCAGCACTAAGCTTTGTACTCTTCAATTATCTCAATTTGTTCTTTTTCATATATGTAAATTTATTCAAGTTTGCCAGCACATATAGATTATAGATATAAAAGACTTTTATTAGTCTTCCTAGGGGACTGGAGAACTTGTGAGCAATTTCACTGACAAAACATAGATCATATGGGGATTCAAGAGGGAGAGGTACGCAGAAGCCTTCATTTCCAAAGGCTGTGCCTTTATTAGCTATGAGCAAGAGCATCCTGCTCTGGAACAAGAGCAGGACCAAACTTCTCTAGTTCTGGGCCTCTGCAGCACTGCTACTGTGGGATAGGAAGAACTGGGGTCTCCAGCTGAAGAGTGATCGGACTAGACCTGGACACAGCATTAGGTTTTGGAAAAAGCTGGGAAAAGCTCCTCCGAGCTTTTATGAGTTGACCCCACGGGCTCCTTTGAATGCAACCCTTGGATTCTAAACCTCCTTTGCTTTTGTTAAAGATACTCGGAACCGAAACAAGATGTTTTGGTTGACACTTTTTTTTTTTTTTCCTAGCAAATAAACAGACTAGCACCGTGCTTTCCAGTTAGGAGTTTCAGATTTCTCAGAATTGCCAGTGAATCACTGAAATTATTATTCACACAGCTCTAATGATCTGTCCAAGCAACTCCAAACAAAATCAATGGGAAATTGGTTCTCAGCGACTCCACCACCTGACCCTACTCAATATGCAGAATATGAGCAATCAGCCACAGCGGTCTTCAGATACCACAAAACAGATGTGATTGTGTTTATTCACAATGCTGTTTTACTTTAGTACATTATGTATTATTCTTATATTGTAAGTATGGACAGTGCTCTTCTTTCACAAGCATTTTCTGCATTCTTACAAAACAGCTGTCATTTCCACATACATAGCAAGTCCATATATATATTTATATATATATAAACGACATTTAAAAACTTCATATTAAGTAGATGGTTCACTAATTTCTCAGGCATGAAAAAAAAAATCTGAAATATCTAAAATGACCCTTCCAAAAGTACAGTATAGATTTAAAAAAGAGTTCTGTGGCTTTTATTTATTTCTAATATTTGAGACTTCCATGGCTCACCAGCAGTCTGTAGTACCTTGTGTGACTGCATGCACATCCTTATGTGAAGAGTAACCCTGGATTTATCTTCCAGTCACTTTTGTGGCCTGGCACACAGGACTATATGATTCACTTATCATCTCTTTATATGTTTAGACTCCCTAAATTGCACTTGTGTGTGTGCGTGAGCAATGCTGAGTTCATTGGCAAGGCAGTGTTGTACTGTAGTATCATCCCTATTCATGACCATTTACAAAACAAAATAGGTCAGGTTAAAAATAACAAGTATTGATCATCTATATTTATGAGAATATTTAAGGTATATGTCATCTTCATGTATCTTTCTCCATGCTGCACCTGCTGCTTGCCTGCTTCTTATATGTATAACAGCTTTGCAGCAGGCTTCTTTGTGTAGATTGTCTTATATTACATGACTTATCTTAATATCAGTATGAAGTCATTGATGATAAGGAAGTTTTGGATTTAAAAGGGAGGTTGAAAAATTCAGAATTACTTTGTTTTTAAACTCTGTTCTGAAAAAGGGAACAGTGCACTGTATTTGCATCTACAGTAGGCCTATTAGCATGGACCATGCCATTACTATAAAACTGTACCTTACTTTACTACTGTAAAAAAAACCTTTCCAGTGCCTTCTCCTGCATATGGCTTCGACCAAAAATGAAATAAATGAAATAAAAAATGAAAAATAAAATAAAGCTTCCATTTTGTTTATCCCAGAATTCTCTAATTTTCAGAAGATGAAAATAATGTTCTGTGAATATATTTAAATTCATACATCCTTTTTTATTATTTGTAGAAACTAAAGCATATCTGTTGTCCTGAAATAACAACTTGTTGTGTTTTTTTTGTTTGTTTGTTTCTTTATTGCTTTGTTTGTTGTTTTTTTTTTTTCTCTCTTTCTCATAAGAGAACTACCAAGTGCACAGAATTATTTGAAAGGGGATTTATGATCCCACAACATGCTGTTATGGACACAAATGGGAGCCCTGCAACCAAATCCACATTTAGATCTAAATTTACTGTTGCATCTCCCTGCTAGACTAGGTTTACTCTCCAGTTCTACACTCCCTTATGTTTTTACATGACTGATCTGGATTTTGAAATAACGCACTGGAACAAATCACCTTTGGTGGTCCCGGTACAGACTTTTCATGGTCCCGATACAGCCTGTTTTCGGTATCCTTGTGGTTTGGAGAGGCAGGACAGTTTATCCCTGTTTATATTACTAGTCTGCTTTTGTGTGATTTACCTTTTGTGACTTTGATTCTTTTGTGAAAGAGTCAACAGTACCTCCATTTTACAAGAAAAGCCAGTCTTACAGCCTTTTACCAGCTACATTCCAGGACAAACTTCGGCCGTCCTTGTCTCATGGCCTTAATATACTTGGTGGTTTTGTTTTTGCTTCCAACAACCTTTCATCACAAAAAATGCGGCAAATTATGAAGGAGACTGCTGGTATTTTAAATAGGTGAATAAGACCAGCTGGGAAGCCTGTTTTGTGAAAGCAGAGATTACAGGCAGTGCCCTGGGGACTACTGTGGTAACAGACACGCCTCTATCTCCTGTTTAGTTCATCAATTTTCTAATGTTCTCTCTGTAAAATCGAGAAATAAAAAGCCCACAAGAGACTTCAGCCATCTTTCAAAAAAATAAACATTAAGAAATTCCTTCTGAAAGGAAGAAATGCTAGAAAACTTAATTTTTCTACTTACACTGTACCTCTTGCTGACACCCAAACAGTGAGCTAAGTCACTGTTGTATAGGTGCAAAGCTTTCAATTTCACCAAGACTCCCTCTCTGGAGGTGACCCCTCAGTGACTGAGAAGTCCACTCTAAGTCACAATAACCACTAACCATAAAATAATTTATTATTATCTCCTCTGTAGAGAGCAGAAGGCTTTGTTTGTGTGTAGTATGATGAGATCGGAAGGAAAGAGACACTATCCTAATTATTGGCACACTAAGAAACCTTCAGCAGATGTCTGTCATTTATTTCTGTCTATGATGGGGTTAGAGAAAACAGGGAAAGGCCAATAAAACCATTGCCAGATAGATTGCAGCCACGTGAATCCATGGAGCTTGTGACTTCAGTGGTTGTGCCTTTACCATGGCTCACTATCTCCATGTTATCAGGAAACGACTTAAGACTGAAGACGTTATTTATACTCACAACACCCAGGCAGATGTAGGCTACTGCAAGGCTGCCATGTCCTGCTTCACCCCATCAGTCCAATGTGTTCAACATTTTATTTACTGAGGACTTTCATATAAATTTGATAGGCTATACATATTAACAAAACTCTAGCATTAGAAAAATACCATCACCTTCATCCTGCCAAGACAGAGTCCGTACTAAACTGAATTACAAGCCACATCCAGTCAGCATACCGTATACTTCTCCCTGTTGCAGCAGACTGTGAATCATCCAGCACAGTCAAGAACATGTAATGAACACAAACATGAGCATGTGCCCATATCTAATCAGCACAATAAGCATCAGCAGGAAAATCACAACCCTAAACAATTCCTTGTTAATTAGGAAAGACTATCACGAAATGTCTCAGGCGGTCACTTAAGAAATTGGCACAAATAAAGCACTGAGAGGAAGGGTGAAATTATAATGACATTATGACATTACGGTAAGGACATTTGCATTGCTGCATATTCCCATAAATGATGCTAAGCAGCATGTGTAGTTTAGTTCATCTTGGACATCTGAAAACCCTTTTTTTGTTTTTAAGTATATTGTTCTGTACATATAGGACTGCCGAACAGGGTAATACATGTACGAATCATCTCTTTGTGCAGAATTAATGGGTTTCTAGTTTGCTGGAT